TTAAAATCAAACATGATTATTATTGGGGTTTATTTTTTTTTTACTTTTAGAAGCCCGAACCTTTAAAAATTGAACCTTATTGTTTTTAGAGTTTTATTGTCTCGTTGGGTTTCATGTTTTTTATAATTTTTAGAAATCCCGTCAAATGTTGCCACTATACTTCTCTACGACCTGTCCATCGCATAATCTTTATTGTCATTGGGACTGTAAAAGTCGAACATAACTATCTATCGTTAGAATTCATTTTTTACTTTCTAGAAGACCCACCAATCATCGGCGGCTCTACCATTGTACTCCTATATGACCCGCTCGCTGCCTCTCATTTTTATTGTAATTGAGATTTTTAAAATCAAATATGATTATCATTGGGGTTTATTTTTTTACTTTCTAGAAGTTCATCAACCGCCACCACTTTGCTCCTATAGGACTTTACTTAATTAATCTCGTATGTGTTTTAGATGGTCTTTTCTTTCAATAGTCTTTTTTTATCACCAATTTTAGTTATTTATAAATTGTACTCCTAGTTGAATTTTTTTCTTTTTCTAATTTCAGAATTTATTTTATTTATTATTATGTTCTTTTGATATTTTTATTTTTTATTTTCAATCGCAGTTGTTTCAAAATTGTATTCCTACTTTAACTCTCTTTTTAATTTGCCTAATTTCAGATTATTTATTTATTTATTATTAGAAATTTTAATTAATCTGCTATTGGGTTCTTATATGTACTCTTATTTCAATATTGCTTATATTTAATTCCGAATTTAAGTTAATTTTAAATTGTATTCCTACTTGAACTCTTATTTTCTTTTCTTTTTTCTAATTTTGATTTTTTATTTTTTATTCCGAATTTTAATTAATCTCGTATTGGATTCTTGTATGGAGTCTTCTTTTAATATTTCTTAATTTTAATTCCGAATTTCAGTTATTTATAAATTGTATTCCTACTCGAACTCTTCTTTTTTTCTTTTTCTAATTTTGATATTTATTTTATTATTATTCCGAATTTTAATTAATCACGTATTGGGTTCCTATATGAACTTCTCTTTTCATATTGCATATTTTTAATTTCGAATTTTAGCTATTTTTAGATTGTATTTCTACTTGGACTCTTCTTTTCTTTTTCTTCGATTAACGTGGGAATTTCTAGCCTCCACGACGAACGTGGTGCCTTCTTTTCGAGCTGTCTTAATAATATAATAGATAGATAAAACTATTTTTTAAGTTTTTAATAATTAATATTTAATTAATTATATGATAATTGCATCTCTCGTACAGCTAATTAGCCCAAATCTTAATAAAAAACAACGCACCTTTAGGGGCCATTTGAATCAAAGGATTTTTATAGGAATTTCATAGGATTCAAATCCTATAGAAAATTTTTCTATTTGTCCCTTTGATTCAAAAGATTGAAGCTTTCCAAATCCTATGAAATTCCAATAGAATGATATATTGCATGTGGATTTTGGAGGAAATTTAGCAAGAGCTCCAACCTCTTGGAAAATTTCCTTTGAGTCTATCTCTCTCACATGATTCTTACGTTTTTCCTACGCTCCAATCAAACGACCATTCCTATGTTTTTCCTATGTTTTGTAATTATCTGTTTTACACTTCAATTTCCATTTTTTCAACCCTGCGATTCAAAGGGGCCCTTAAAATCCATCGGAAAAATAGAGGAAGCAACCAAAAATAACATTTTACTCCGTACTACACTTAACAAGCGTGGTCAGCGTCGCAGTCGCGGGGGCTCGTTCCTTCATGCTTTGTGTGCGGGTGCGCCTCCTTTTCCGACACATTTTTTTGTCACGCCTCCTCCGTGATGTGAATGTGATCTCACTTGATTTGGAAGCTCCCAGCTTGATCAAGGCGAACTGGTCGGCGACGCACGCAGTAATAGATGTGGTGGTTCTTTGAGTTGCTAAGCAACTTTTCGTAGGTAGTGTTGTCTTATTGACCGACGACTTCTGTTTCAGGCAAAGAGAAAAGAAGACCTGGGTGCAACAGAGTCAAATGCTCTGTTTTTCAAAGTGTAGTATCACGAATAGACCCCAAGTGTCGCACTCCCGTTTCACGCTGACGCCGCGCGCGCGTGCAGTTTCACACCGCTTCGCATACGATTCGATGCATCGTCTGCTGATTCCAAAGAGACCGCGTGTGCGCCGTGGGTGCGGCCAGTCAGCGTTGCGCGGTCCGCGAGAACAACTCCCCTCGCACGAAGTGGTAGGCTCGCGAACCATGCGGTTCCATCCTGCTCGATCACACAAGCAGTAGTACAGTTTGACAAGCAGCTTTTTTTCTACTTTTTGAACGACTCGCACGAGACGGTGCGAAGTTCTATTGACAGAGCAGGAAAAAATTACAAGATTATAACCCTGGAGGATCATAACTAGAAAAAAAGAAAAATACACCACCCCCACACACCGACAGCGCCAACACACACGACCAGGGGGAGGCTAGCACCGGACCGGCCGCCGCTAAGCGTGACCTGCCGTCGCTAGACTAACAAAGGAACACAGACGAGATCGCCCTACAGCTAGGGGTGCCAAAATGACGTCTTCAAGAAGAGAAGCGATGGAAAAACCGCCGCCGCCGTCCGTCCGGGCTCAAAGGAGCCAGGACTGGGCTTTCGCCCGGCAACTGCCCTTGAGGGGTGAGACAACACGACAACGCCCTCAGGAGGGGGAATTAACCATCGTTGTTGGCCCGGCTAAGGCCGGACTGGGTTTACACCCGCCGCACACCACCTGCGAATCTACGGCTGACGCATCGATGCTCCACCACCACACAACCTCTGCCGACATGTGGGACCCCCGCACTGGCGCCCCCCGCTGGCCATCCTTCGTGCCACGCCCACCGGCATCTCCTCCTCGCACCAGGGTCGCCTCCTCCTCCGCCGACCGCGCCTCTCGCGCCAAACCGGCCTCCTCCACCGGCTGCGCCTCTCGCACCAAACCGGCCTCCTCCACCGGACGCGCCTCTCGCGCCAAGCTGGCCTCCATCTCTGCCGCCCGCGCCTCTCGTGCCGAGCCGGCCTCCGCTGCCATCGGCTGCGCCTCTCTGCGCCAAGCCGGTCTCCGACCCCTCCTCCGTACTCTCCCGCGCCGGCCAGATGCAGCCGTCTGCCACGTCCTCGGCTAGCTGACCGAGGCCACCATGCCACCTCCCACCACCACCACGGCCGCTGCTGCCGACGGCCACCTCGCCACCAGCCAGCCGCAGCCCCATCTCCGTTGTCCAGCCGCTACTGCAACCGTCGCCACAAGTTCCGCGCCGCTGCCTCCGCCGCGAGAGCTCTAATGCCACAGCAGCCGACAGCCGCCAATGCCGTCAACCAGCCATCGTGCTGTCGCCGTCGACAAGCCGCTGACGCCACCGTCGCCATGAAATCCGCGCCGTTGCCACCGTCGCCGTCGCCCCGTGCTCCCGCGCCGTTGCCGCTGACGACGTCGATGCGAGCTCCGCGGTGCCGCCACCGCCATGAGCTTGCTCCGCCACTGCCACGAGCTTGCCCTGCGTCGCCATCCTCGCCGGCTTCCGGGCAAAAAGCCTCAACCGCCGCCTGGTGACGCTCACACGCGCCCGCGACCTCGCCCAGCTGCGCCGCCCCCGCAACCGTCGCCACCACCGCCTATTCCCCGCCGCCAGCACGCCCGCTTCCCCGCCGCCCGTCGTCGCCCGGCGTCAGCCCCGCTAGATCCGGCCAAAACGGCGCGGATCTAGGTGGGGGTTTCCACCGCCGCCGGCCTTGTCCGCCGCCACCACGCACCGTCAGTCGCCGCCGCCACCACTCCACCCCCCCCCCCCCCCGCCAAGCGCCGCCCCGCCGGATCCGGCCGGGCGGGCGCGGGTCCGGACGGTTTGCCACCGTCGCCAACCGGCCATCTCCTCGGGCCGCCGAGCGCGCGCTGAGGCGAAGCCCAGCCGCCGTCGTCCCCGCGGCCGCGCGGCTTTGCCGGCGCCCGCTCAGGCGGCGGCAAGGCAGAGAAGGAGTGGGGGGAGGGGAGGGGGAGGAGGAAGAAGACGGCGGCGGCGTCGCCTCTCGTGTCGCCCGTGGGGAGGGCGACGCGAGAGCTCTCGTCTTCCTTTTTTTCCTACTAGGATACTCCAGTTTTATTAGTGATGTTTCGCTTTTATTACCCTTAAACTAATATTTTCATTTTAGATCGGCTTTGTTTCACTTAGGACAACCAATGCGCCGGCTTCTATTTGTCAATGAACTCCCGTAGCTAACTTTAGATTATTACCTTGTTAAGGTTGGTCCAAAGTGCCATAAAAAATAAATTTAATTGGTTCAAAATGAAAACATTTGTTAAATGACGGTCAAAAGCAAAACAATGATAATAAAAGATGACCCAAAGTAAAATTTACTAGGTTTGACATCGTTGATCTACAGACATACATTGGTCTTATTTAAAATTTTTGGGCAAATATGAAAAAAAATCATATTTAAAATACTTGTAATGATAAAACACATAAAAATAATTACTCCCGTTGTTTCATATTGTAAATCATTTTGACCTTTTCTCTTAGTCAATTTTTTTAAGTTGAACCAAATTTATACAAAAAGATAGCAACATTTTTAACACAAAACAAACATATTATGAAATGTTAGTTATAGTGAAATTAATTTGATGTTGTAGATGCTACAGATTTTTCTATAGACATAATCAAATTTAAAAGAAGTTTGACTATGGAAAAAGTCAAAACGATTTATAATATGGAAAAAGGAAATACATATAAAATAAATGGTCAAACTTATGTTGAGAGTCAAACCGTCAAATATTAAAAAGAGTACTAAAGAAGGGGCTTGCTCTTGAAAACAAAGACCGAATGACTTCATATGAACAGAACAGAGATTTAGATAAAAGAGTTCAGAACTCTGTCGACAATGGGGACAACGAGCCTGCGTCACGATTCTGTCATCTCATCTGGTATGCTCAAAATATAGAAAGTCCGAACTGAAAAAGTTCAGACGAACGAGTGAACGACACACGGCAATAGTTGGCCTGCAATTTTTCACTTCAGTTGAGAGTATGCTAAGATAGATCAACACAGGTTGTGCAGCTTTCCCCAAGAGTAGCAGAAGCATATATATATCACACAAATTTTAGTAAGCTCCTGTATATAAACATTCTATTGCAATTCTAAGTAGAAACTAGTGGTGATTGGTAAACAGTTTACTAACATGGGCATGCTTGCGGCTGCAACACATGTCTGCATTTTCATTATGCAAATATGTATGCAGACATGCACCGATTCAAATATCACCAACATATCAATGCTGTAGCCGAATGCCTGGTTCTACCAGCAAAATCATATACGTTAAGGGAGTTGGAACAGCTCAGTACCAATGTCCACGCGCTAATGCTTGGTTCCAGGACTGAGCATGCAGACCATATCGCCTCCTGCAGGAATTAGACCATCTTTTAGAAATCGAGATGCAGATGAAGGGAAACATATGACAATATACAGGTGAGAGAACACGATAAGGGTGATATTCAGATAACATACATTTAAAACAAGTTCATTTAACTATTATTAAATTATAGTATATAGTATTAGTTTAGCTGGAAAGGTAGCTTTCATAAAGGTTCAAAGTTTCTGTCACCAAGAGATTTTAGTGAGTAAAGTAATCTGGTGGCACTTCTGCAAACAGACATAGACATGCTGGTGCTCAGGCAGACAACACATAGTACCTCTTCAACAGAAAAACGAGACTTACTTGTCAATAGGTCTTAGCATTACCACTAAAATTGATCACCACAAGCTATTGTTAGCCATGGCTTCTTGGATCAGCAACTTGATGAACTTTTCGGGATTCTGCACTCGAGAATTGGCCAACAACCCGTGCATGAGGTACAGTGGGCTCACCGGAAGCAAGAGCAACCACATTATCAAGAAAATATTGTTTTGGAAGTCTCCCAACAACATTGCCTTCCTCATTTCCCTCCTTGTCCAGAAAGGCAAAATGAGGAATGCCTTCTACTCCAAACTCGTCAAGCTCTTGTTCCCACTTTGTGTTGTCAACATTTAGCATGACAAAGTTGACACGGTCCCTGGGAAGAAGACTTAAGGTAAGCACTGAGCATTGAATAGAATAAAGAAAAAAAATCAAAGATGAGTTCATTCAGTAATTTTATCCCAGGTTGGATCTTTTTGATACTGATACTGGAGGAAAACTTTTCAACAGGATTTCTAGACTAGTTGATTAATTGGGTACATCAGTTTATGAATAATGCAATCACTTGCAACGTATTGTTATATAGGTCCAGCCATGAGGTTAAGTTCTACAGGGGGTGCATTTTATGATCTGTAAGAAGGAAACTAATCAGAGTTGATTTTGCCATAGCAAAATGGTTAAGGTACAAAAGTAACGTCCAAAAGAGAGTTTACTTCCTCACAAAAAAAAAATTAAAGGAGGAGAATTTACTTGTACTGTTGCTCAACTTTGTAGACATCTGGTGCTAATTCTCGACAAACTTCACACCAGTCTGCATAAAATTCAACTACAGTGGGCTTGCCATTTGAGAGAGCCTGCATATATATTATCAGGTTACATTCATAGGCATGTAAAGAAAATGTCTTCACAGGAAATGCAGCAAATCCTTTTTTGGGAATACCCAAGGAGCGCATCATTGTATTAAGAAGAAGTAAAATTTATGTACAAAGCGGACCAAACAAAGGAAATGCAGCAAATCCAGATACCAATTTGAAGCAAAAACATGGAAGGTTTATTTGTCATTCAAGCTATTCACCTTAGCACAGGAAGAAAATATAAATATTGCTTAACCAATTGACAAGTCATACAAGTGAAAGTTTTCACATGTAAAGGCATCGGACCTATTGATTGGAAATGAATGCATCATCAATCTGTGACAACTGCCCAAAGAAAGACAGCATCTTGCGACCAATGGAAAAATATAATACATTTACAGAAGAAAACATATTTCAGATTAATATCCAAAACAACATCTTGTCTGAAATGATTGGATGTTTCATTTAGCTTGCCTAGTGGCAGAACATCGTCTTGACGCACATAAAAAAATGTCAACTCGCATATTCATCTTCCTTCGTGAACGTAAAAGGTTCTGATCAGTCTGCCCCCAAAAAAGGTACTATAATGGGTGATGCTTAGAGATTTTTAAGTACATAAGAGATTTTGCTCCCCTTTTCTTGTTGGTGGATTGCGGTTAGCATTTAGAAATTCCACGTTGTTTGCTTCTGTTTTTCCAGTAATGGGTAAGTGTATAAGTCTCATAGGAGAAAGGCTGCAAACCTCTTCATACGGTGTAGCATTTGCTGCAAGATCTTTGAGAGAAACGCCTCCAAAGTCGAGTCTTTGATATGCAAAGAGGCCCACAGCTCCAATAGTGGAGGCCAGTGCTATCCTTCTGCTGAGATCTTTATTGGGAAAAGTTGGATTTCCAGCATCCTGGGATGCACTACTTGCCTCAGCCTTATCTTCAGTCGAGTCATCTTTGGCGGCCGGCTCATCCTGACGAAGCGAAGAAACTTTCAATCCATCAATAATTCAATTTCATTGATGTATAGCACAGCACTAGTCTTGTAAACATGAAACATGGTTTTGCTAGTTATCCCGAAAATTAGCGCCATGCAGCTAGCTAGCGCATGTTTCTGAATTCTGATATAAATCTCACCGAAAATGAAGCATGTTTAGATCAAGTATACCATTACCAAGAATGAGTGGTCATTAAAAATGTAAAATCCCAGCAACTCAGATTTTTGTTTTCCCATCGGATGCAGCGAATCAGCGCGCTAGATACAGGAGTTATACTACTAGTAATAAGAGAACACACTATACGACGACGAAATTTTTGCAACGACTCACCGTCTGCGGCTCCGCCGAATCGGGCGGCGCGATGCAGGAGAGGGACCCGAGCCGTCGACGGGCCCGCCGCGGGCGGAAGCTGAGAGAAGAAGCCGGCGTCGAGCGGCGGCGGCGGAAGCCGGCGAGGCTCGCGCCGAGGTCGGGGAGGAGCAGCCCCGTACACCTCGATGCCACGACCGCCATCTCCCCTCCCAAGATTCCAACGTTAGCCTGCACGAGAGAGTACGAGACGGCACGGCAACCGCAGGAGGAAGAACCACTCGAGCAGAGTTAAAGTCAGTAACCTCTCCCTACCCGAGTCAAAAGCCCGGAGGTGGAGACGATGATGATGTGGGTGGCCGACGCGCCGCCACGTCGCCCGCAATCGCGCAATGGAAGAACCGGGACGCTACAGAGCCGAACAAAAGCCCATCGCGATATTTGCCGGCCCATCTCACCACCGAGCCAGCCCAGCCTCGCTTCACCTGCGAGAAAAAGTTTGCCCTTTTCCAAGAAAAACACGGGAAACTCTTTTAATCACCTGGATATCAACTTGTTCTTACATACTCCCTTTGTCCCATAAAAAAACAATCTAATACTGAATATGACATATCCTAATATTACGAATACATACTTCTGTCCATATTCATTGTACTAGAATATGTTACAACCAGTCATAAATTCGTTTTTTTTAGGACGGAGGAAGTACATGTCAATTAAATAGTTATGAAATTGTTTTAAAAAAGTTTCATAATATATCACTTTATAAACTTGCAAATTTAACTTGTACAAGTTATGAAAAAAAAAACAAATTTTGCATACGAACATTCACAGTCATTTTTTTATTTTTTATAATGTATATAAGTTGAATTTAAAATTATATATTAATATATCGTGTTAATTTTTTTAAAAAAATATAACCATTTGATTGACATGTAATAAACGAATAGCCGTTCACCTGGTGATTAGAATCGTCTACCCAAAAGCTCCTCTTTTCCCCAGCAAAAAGCTCGGCCGCGGCGCGCTTCGTGCGACGGAGACGAAAACCCGGGCGAGCTGGGTCCCGGCCTCCGGGCGGCTGGATGATTGCCGGCACTATCAACGCAGCTGGAGCTGACCAGTGTCCAGTGGATGATCGGTCACACACACACTCGCACGCAGGCTGAGCCAGCGGCGGAGGCGATAATGCAGGCGATCATTCTGTCCACCGATCGATGCATCCATTTGCATTTGCCATGCAAGCATGCAACGCATGCACGCACGCTCGCTTGCGTGCCAACCTGGGCTTGTCCGATTGTTTGTCCCCATCATCAGGTCCCTGCAGAATTACAAAAAAAGGAAGAATTCATCAATTGAACGAGATGCAAATGCTGCAGGCATAGGAGTATACTAGGAGCAAGATGCAAGAGCAATAATGGGCAGTGGTTGTGCGTATTTATTTTCTTTTTCAGAAGAAGAGGTTGGTCAAGCCGTGTGAGAGAGTGGAAGAGAGGCCCACATTTGCTACACGCCTAGATCTTGATATATTTATGCATAGTTTTATACTGCCTCCAATTGTGTGTTAGCCCTGATGCTTAACCTGCAAATGCGTCCAATTATTGTGCAGCATGTGAGCTGTGAGAGCATACAACCATACTCTGATTGGTTATCCTGGCTGATACTTACAGTATATTAGTCGTAGCTGTGAAGGGAATGTTGATGGATTTGTTTAGGGCAATTCAGAAGCTTTGTCCCTTGCTCCGTGCTGTTACCGCTGTAACTTTTCTGCTCTGGGAATTCTTCACTTCCGCCTCCGATCTGCAGATGCCGGTACAGAGGTAATTGTCCTCTTCCAATAGTACTGTTTTGTGAAGGAACAATCAGAGTAGGGCTCATACGTCATGTCGGATGAACATGGTGTGAGTTTGGATGGTACATCTGTACTCTTGTTCAATAATAACAGACCAAGATTGAGATGAACTTAGTGTGCAAACATACCTGGATATGCAAGCTACTGCACTAGGAAGTATGTAATCTGGTGAATGCAAAGAGTACAAAGATTGTTTAAGCATGCACACTCATTACCTGAAGATTAGGAAAGGCAATGGATGAACAAAAGGCTCGGGAAAAGGTTGCTTGGAGCAGGACCGCATGAAATTGACTCTTTCTGTTACTTCCATAAAGGTTTCACAAAGCAACACAGCACTAGTTGCTCACACCCCATATAGTCCATGGCTCCATGCCTTGTCTCGCCAAGATTGCCAGCTTCTGCACTGTTATCTATAACAAAAAACAGCTTCCATATTAATGTGTCGCTGCTGATTTTTCTTTTTAACATAACATAAGGATAGAAGATGTGGATGTAGAGCGAACAAGAAGCAAAAGGGACAGACCGAACAACACGTTGTGGGCTGTAAGTTGATGATGACTAGCACACATCAGTCTTGATGAACATCACTCATCAGAAGCGACTTCACCTGGCTTGAGGACACCAAAACTTTCACACATCAAATGTTACTCCAACAGTCGTACTAGCACTGAAATGGCTCTTGACCTTAGCCTTTTTCTCGAACTCCAATGCATTGAACACTTTTGTTTCTGATAGGAAAATGCTTTGAACACTTTCAGAAAGTTGAGGAAAGCTCATCTCTGCCTTTGCACATCGCTGGGCTACTAGATTCCCTGGGTTTCTGCAAGACTGCAACCTCATCAACCACACAAGCCCTGATGAGACCAATGCCCATACAACCACAGACATCTTGAGTCATGCCAAGCCTCTACTGTTCTACAGTGACACGCACTCCTGAACAATCTGTTGCAGAATCCGAGCAAAGTTAAGGTTGTCGTAGCTACTCGCGTTGTTGCCTTTGAGCCCTTTTTCTCCTTTGGTGTGTCCTCCAGGCCAGGCCATGGCGCCTGCCAGGTCCATTGTCCAGCACACCCAGCCCCCAGGCACGCCCACGCACTACACTGGCATGCTGCCACTGGCACGAGTGCTGGGTATTGACACAGAAGCCTCTCTTTTTCAGGCGGTGAGGAAGCAGCCGGATTTGGGGCTCACCTTCCAGAGTTGTTGCCTTGTGATGAGCACTGATCTACTCCATCCACCAGTAACCTGCATCTCTCTCTCTCTCTCTCATGTGTACAGCCATAAAAGAGAGAGGCAGTAACACACACCGGCAGGTACGCCAGGACACCACCACCTCCAGTCTTGATGACCGGATCACGCCTTCACATTTATTATTGTCCGATCAGGCGATCATCTTCTTCTTCCCTTGGCCAGGCGGCAGCTGGAGTTCAAAGTTCAAAATCCAGGTTTTTCAGAGCACGTCTTGGCCTTCACCTGACAAAGAAAGATGGCTGGATCATATGGACGTTGGTTAGGAGTACTACTTTCAAGACGTAAAAATTTTTGGGTACTGGATAAAAGGAAAAGAACAGTCGTTACCTGTGCGCTTGTGCCGTAGATTCCTTCATTCTTCTCGTTGTTAGTACTTAATTAACCTGACCTGCGTTCACTTGGGTTAAAGTAATGGTGACTTTGGTTCATGGCTTCATTTTATCGAGGTGGTATCCGAATCTTCATACTGGATGTTGATACTCTACCTGATAGGTGAAGGCTTGTTTTGCAATGCATCCTATTTCCTACTACTAGAAAATTTCTGGGAAAAAAATGGTTCTACAAATGAACCAGGTACTGTAGTTGAATTCTTGTGTCAGTGTCACACTATACATATGATGGATGATCAGACAGCTCCAAGCATACCAGACATTCTTTTGGAGTTCCAAGCATAATAGAGTAGTAAAACATACTATTATGAGCAGTGGCTGTGTAGAGGTGAAAATTTTGCTGTTACTGGTAAGATTTTGGTGGCAATGCGTAAAACATGGTTATAACTGTCACTCCTAGAGTAGATGACAATCTTTCAGAAAGAGACAGTAAAGCATTAGATTAAGAGAAAGCAAGTACGGATGGTAGGATAAACAAATGGGTAATGGAGGATACGTGCTTTTGAGGCAAGCCGAACGGCATTCAAAAAACCAAAAACGCCATCTTGTCTTCGTCTTCCCCACTTGGAATCCTTCACTTCTCCCACCTAAAACCAAGCATCAGAATAGTACGCCATTATTGAGAGCTCCCTCGTCTCTCGTCTCTCCCTGGTGTCCTTCCCCTTCTCTGATTCCCATAGCGACAGCAAATGAGCAAACACATCACACCCCTTCCTTTCTCCCGAGAAATGCCTTAGCTCATAGCAGAGTTTTTTTTTTCTTCTTCTTCTTTTTTCGCCATTGCTGTTGTCTGCTTCGTTCTTCCAAAGGATCACGAGATGCAGGGGAGGAAGATGAAGAGCGCGAGGGAGATGGCCAGGGAGGAGAAGAATCATCATCATCATCATCATCAGCAGCAGCAGCAGCAGCAATCGAGCTCCAAAGGCCAAGCATGGCAAGCGACTGATTGAGCTCTGTCTCTGTCTCTCTGTCACCGATTTGCTGTTCTCTGATCCCCAATCTGTGTGTCTGTCTTGTGTTCATCAGGTTCTGCACCACCGGACTCCCCAGCGACGTCGTGATCGAGGTCGGCGACATGACATTCCATCTCCACAAGGTTGGTGAATCTTATCCCCCACACCTGTGTCTCCCATAATTTCCATTTTTTTTCTTTTTTTCCCAACTCTCCTTGATGCACGGACAGTGTTGGCTTTGAGCACTTTCTTTTCCTTGATCTCAATTAATTTGCTGCTAAATCTCGTACTCCAAATCTCTGTCATGATTCATGAGCTTGTGTGGTCCATTTCTTGATGTCGGGCTATGGAAAGTGTGAAGATTTTCTGCGTTTGTTGTTGATATCGAGAATTTCCTTGCAGTTCCCGTTAATGTCGAGGAGCAAGAAGCTCCACGACCTCATCACCAACAGGGAGTCGCGAGCTGCGGGCGGAGGAGAGCAAGATGAGGAGGAGGAGGAGGATGCCGGCGAGATCAGAGAGGAGGAGGTGGTGCTGGAGGTCGACGAGGACTCCGACGTGCACCGCATCCGCCTCCCGGACTTCCCCGGCGGCGCGGAGGCGTTCGAGCAGGCGGCCAAGTTCTGCTACGGCGTCAAGCTGGACCTCACGCCGGCCACCGCCGCGCCGCTCCGCTGCGCCGCCGAGCGCCTCGGCATGTCCGACGACCACTCCGACGACAACCTCATCTCCCGCGCCGACAGGTTCATGTCCCACACCGTCCTGAGGAACCCCAGGGACGCCATCCGAGCCCTCAGGTCGTGCGAGGGCCTCCTCCCCCTCGCCGACGACCTCGGCCTCGTGTCACGCTGCGTCGACGCCATCGCCGCCAAGGCCGCCGCGTCCACGCCCACCGCACTGTTCGGTTGGCCCATCAACGATGCCGCCGCCGCCGCCGCCGCCGCCGCCGGCGACCGTCCGCGCCGCAAGAACAATGCCGGCGCCGGCGCGACGTGGTTCGACGACCTCGCCGGCTTGTCGCTGGCCACGTTCACCCGCGTCATTGCCGCCATGAAGGAGCGGAACGTCGGCCCGGAGATCATTGAAGGCGCTCTCATCGCCTACGCCAAGCGCTCCATCCCTGGGCTGTCGCGCTCCGGCCGCCATGTAGGCGGCGCCACCGCCGCCGCCGCGGCTGCGCCGTCATCGGACGGCGAGCAGAAGGCGCTTCTGGAGACCGTCATCGCCAACCTCCCGGAGGAGACCATCAAGAGCAACGCCCACACCGGCACGGCCGTGGGCGCCACGACGGCGCGCGTCCTCTTCGGCCTCCTGCGCACGACGAGCATCCTACAGGCGTCGGAATCCGCCCGTGACATGCTCGAGCGGCGCATAGCCGCGAGGCTCCCCGACGCGGCCCTCGACGACCTGCTCATCCCGAGCTACTCCTACCTCGTCGAGACGCTCTACGACGTGGAGTGCGTCGAGCGCATCGTGCGCTACTTCCTCGAAGGCCGAGACGCCGACGACGGCAACGACGACGGCAGCGAGCTGGAGACACCGGGCAGAGAGGCCAGCCGACGAGCCATGCTCGCCGTTGGGAGGCTGATGGATGCCTACCTGGGCGAGATCGCCGCAGATGCCAACCTGAAGCCGGACAAATTCTGTGACCTCGCCTGGGCATTGCCGGACGGCGCCCGCGTCTACGACGACGGCCTCTACCGTGCCGTCGACATCTATCTCAAGGTAAACCAACACTGACAACGAGTGTTCTACCTCTTTACAACACAATGCCATTACTTAGCAGTGATTGTTTTGTTCTGTTCTTAGGCTCATCCTGGATTGAGGGAAGAAGAGAAGGAGAAGGTGAGCGGTGTCGTCGACGGCCGCAAGCTGACGCTAGAGGCATGCACGCACGCGGCGCAGAACGAGCGGCTGCCGCTGCGGACGGTGGTGCAGGTGCTCTTCTTCGAGCAGCTCCAGCTGCGTCGCGCCATTGCAAGGACAATCATGGCGAACGAAGGTGGAGCAGCTGGTCAAGGGGAGGAAGAAGGCGACAGCGATGCCGGTGGAACATGGCGGGTGGCGACAAGGGGGAACCAAATGCTGAGGCTGGACATGGACAGCATGCGAAACCGGGTGCAGGAGCTGGAGCGTGAGTGCACAAGCATGAGGAAAGCCATTGAGAAGATGGACCGGCGTGGCGGCGGCAGCACGCCAGGGGAGAGAGGAGCAACGCCGGCGATGGAAGGACGGTGGGGATCAATGGTGACGAAGCGGTTCGGGTGCAAGTTCCCGGCGCAGGTGTGCCAGTCACAGCAGCGCACGGTGGTGGCGCGGCCTCGCCGGCCACGAATCGAGCAGAGCCCCTGAAATTCTTCTCCCTTGCACATCATAGCTTCCACTTGTTTTCTCGTGTTGATTCTTTACTTAGATTTGTGGAAAATGGAGGGGTTTTCCTTGGGAGATATTGAGTTTTACCATGTTTGATCATTGAATTGTAGCGGTGCACAATTGCTCAGTGCCATCTGGATGGCCAATGCATCAAGTCATACGTTGGCTAAGCAAAGTGAATCATCATTTCTTCATCACTGACATGATCCAGTAGCAGTAACAATGTACAACCGTAGTGAAGGAATTCAACTATAACAATGGGTGTCAATGACAGTAGTGGTGGAGAGATGGCTCACCTCACCAGTAATCGCCGCAGGAGCAGGCGCCGTCCTTGAAATGGTGGAAGCGCTTGTTGTCCCTGACGACAATCTCGCGGCCGGTGACCTTGGCGATGAGCTTGACGGCATTGTGGCAGTCACCGCAGATGCGGAGGTTCTTGATGACGCGGAGCGGGGTGCCCGGTGGCGTGCTGACCAGCCCGAACGCGATGGCGAGGCGCTCGCTGTGGTACATGAGCGCGCGGGCCTTGGCGTCCTCGTCGATGTCGTGCAGCACGTAGCGGGTGTCCGGCACGTACCCCGCCGCGCGTATCTCCTCGTGCAGCTCCCGCACCTTCTCGTACGCCTCCCGCCTCTTCGCCTCGTCGCCGTGCTCCTGCTCCTGCTCATGATCCTTCCCCCGCGGCCTCGACGCTCCCTCGAGTGCTCGCCGCGCGTCGCCGCGGGCGCCGAGCTTGCAGTACAGCGTGGAGATCATGTGCAGGATGGGCGTGGCGATCCCGGGCAGGGACTTGGACAGCAATCGGTGCGCTCGCCTGAGCGACGCCAGCGACCGCGCCTCTCCGCAGGCCTGGAGAACCGCGGCTTGCTCCTCCGGCGCGAGGTCGGCCAATGCGCCAGCGCCGCCTCGCACGAGCATTTCGTCGAGCAGGTTAACGGCTGCCTCCGGGTTAGGCTCCTGGCACAGCCTCCGGAGCTCGTCACGGTCGAGGCGGCCCTCTTCACGCCGCGTTCGTACGGTGCTCGTGACGGCGCCGACCCTGGGAGGTGCGGAGCGGCGAAGCAAGCGGCACCCTCCCCGGTGGCGTCGACTCCCCGTCGCCGCAGCTGCCGGGAGGAAGCCGCGGCAGCGCGGGCTTGCAGCGGCTGCAGGAGGGGGCGGCGCGGCGAGCATAGGAGATATTAGCATTTTCGCCGGCGATGTGTGGGGCGCCGGAGTGGCGGAGCAATCTCCGAATCCGACGGTAATGGTGGGAGTGGGTCGCGGTCGGAAGCGGAAGACGCAACCGCAGCCGCGCGAGCGAGGGAGAAAGACGATGAGGTTTACGCGCCCGGTCCATATGTAACCGGGCCCGTTTATTGGGCCGACCCACAGTTGTAAGCTGTTGCCTACTGGACTGGACTAGAATAGAGAGACTTTCAGTTTCGTGCAAATAAGCCCATATGTATATTTTAGCCCAATATAGTCTATAAGCACCCAATGAGCCCATAGTAACTTCTAGCCCAATAAACCCATAAGTATTTTCTGTCTCTTCCTCGTTTTTCCGTTAACGTACATAATGCTCTGTTCTCGAAAGAAAAAAGGAAAAAAAAAACGTACAAAAGGTGTCGGTTCGAGACGAAAACATGACGAACTTTACGTACGCCGGCCGTGTACAGACAAAGCAGGCTTCAGATAACTGAAACGACGTGTACAAAACGAACACGGTCAGCTATCTACAGTATCAGCTACGTGCTTGTCAGCGGAGCTCTCTCTGTAACTCTGCATGCCGACGTGCCACCACGCAGCCACACACGGACGGACACTAGTAGTTGCGAATTCGGCAAGACCGTTGGGGGTTTGGTCGTCTCTCACATCGAGCTAGCCAGCGACACGATCATGGGGAGATTGGCCCGGACGCCATGGACGAGCTGGCAGATTGATCCAGAAATAAAGGGGGAGACAGCGACGCCTGAAATTAAATTAGTGTTTCGACTTGGCTAATTATGATCGGTTGATAAGCTGAATTAGTTTCATTGGTTAATTAGGATGAGAATGGTCAGCCTGTTACCGTCTTTTTCAGCTTGTCTTATCTGGCCGATGTTGCATTATTGATTTTCTTTTTTTTTTTGTTTATCCATCCCATTTGGCCACGATTAGGCATGCAAAACGATTCTGTATGACTGTTTTTATGTGCAAGGTGTGTGGAGCACGTGGCTGACACGTCGGCTACACAGTTTCAAAGAAATGTTAACATTTGTTAGTAAATGCTTAATTAATCACATCGATAGGATTATCAGCATTTCAGTATGAAATAATCGCCAAAACATAAAAAAGAAAACCAAGTCTACATCAAAACTTAATTAATCGTAGGGCCACGTGCTCTTTGCTCATATGCTCATAGGGAGTGACAACTGGCATTCTGGCAGGAAGCGAAGAAAAGGGGAATATACCGGTATTAATACTGCATTACTATCCAGTTTATACAAACAAAAGGCAATTAATTAATGTGCTAAAAATGGATTAGTATTTGTTAGTGCTAAACAAGATCTAAATTATCTAATCATAGCCAAGTCAAAAACAGTGAGGAGTAGAATAATGCATGCATGCAGAAATACTGTAGGACCTGGAGCCCTCCACGTGTCCCACGACGTCCCCCCCGGGAACCGTCCAGATCGAGCGAGCGCCACCTAGTTCCCCACCTGTACACATACTCATCCACACAACCAAACCCAATTTAGTCAAATTTTACCCAATCGCCAGCGAGAGCTTGCTTTGATTTGATCCGCGCGCGGAGAAGACGAAGCGAGAGAGAGAGGGAGAGGTGGAGGAGGCTAGCTAGGGTTGCGAGCGATCTGCAGCGTGGGAGATGGGGAAGGGGTTCATGTCGTACCTGGCGATGAAGACGGACGCGGCGGGAGGGGAGGCGGCGCAGGCGGCGCTGATCGACGCCGACCTGCAGGAGCTGGGCGTGGCGGCGCGGAAGCTCGCCAACCACGCGCTCGTCCTCGGCGGCGGCCTCGGGTTCGGCACCACCTTCCTCAAGTGGCTCGCCTTCTTCGCCGCCGTGTGAGTCACCCAAAACACCCCCCCTCCATGTCCTTTGTTTGTTCGTTTCGGTGTCTCTTTGCAGAGGACCAAGAGTGAGCTTTGGTTCCAAAAGGGGATCTCCGATCTCGCCATTTTTTGGGGGCTCAAAAGCTCCTTGTGTTGCTGATCGGGACACGCCGACACGGGCATGGAGGATCGATAGTTGGTGTGTTGCTAGCTCCGTTAGTACTGAGAATAAATGTACGCCATTTTGGGGATATGATTAATTGGTAGTACTACTGTTCTACCTGATATCCGTGACTGCATGAGAGACGCACCCTGTAGCTGGCAATATTTGATTTCTGTTCGAAAACTAGAGATAGCTCAGAAATTTTGGAAATTTGCGCCAAATTAATTAGGGGGAAATTGAGCAATAATTTGAGTATGTGTGCACTATTTTTTAGATAATGGATAAAAATCCGGCCTCTATATCCGCAAGCAGATATACACAGCCAAATATGTGTGCGCTTATATAGTGCTCGATTCACAAGTTATATCTTTTTAACAGGTGAGCAGGAAGTCGAGATACGATTGTACAATTACAGAACTATGCTGTGTTGAGCAGTTTGTAGGATCCTACAGCCTAATTTCTGCATATTAAGTATTTTTGGCATTGTATGCAGTGTAATGAACTAGTGACTGTGCGCTGGACTGTGAATTTGTGATGTGATATGAGTGATACGATGATATTGGCATACTGTACTTTAGGAAGAGCAGATAACTGCTGCACATGGAGTTGTAGTTGTAATTATTAGGACCGTCCATGGAAGTTGTGCTTTCTGAATATCAGAATATGCTTCATATGCCAGTGGTGCTGCACCACCCTCAGTAAACTTGATGATTTCGCTCAGTCTTCAGTATTTACTTTCAAGACCATGACTTTAGAACTTTCTGTGTACATTTAACCTGAGAACGGTCCTTATAAATGTCACTCATCAGTTGTCATTTGTGCATTTGAGTATTTGACTGAACCCCCTCTGTTCTCTTCTACTGCAGGTACCTCCTGATATTGGATAGGACAAACTGGAAGACCAACATGCTGACCGCTCTCTTGGTCCCTTACATTTTCTTTACACTGCCTGGTGGGCTGTTCTCTCTGTTGAGGTATATATGCAAATACCCTGACACGCTGGCTGCATTTCTTAGCCCACAAAACATGAAAGATGTATTAGTAAACTGACAATTGGCATCATGGGATTAGGGGCTGAATGATAATCTTGGTAAACATAAGTTTTGAAGAATTGAGGATTTTTTTATTAAAAAGGTTATAGCTTTTTTATAAGCATAAGATGAAAGCAAGTTATATGCTGCTGAAGCTAGTTTTTCATACTTTGCGTTCTGGTTGGAGGACTAGGGATATAGTTGTAAATACTTACAAAATAGTTATGTTCTATTCTGTTGTATTAAAGTTTACAACATCACATATAGATATATCAAACAAATTTTCTTATCTCTAGGTTTCAAAAAAAAAATTCTTATCGCTAAATGCGTAAATTGCAGGGGAGAAATTGGAAAATGGATTGCGATCATTGCTGTCATCCTTCGTCTCTTCTTTCCTCGCCATTTCCCTGGTATCATTTGATGTCTACTTTCTAGAATGTTGTTTGATAGCCTGACAAAAATTCACATGGGTCTCACAACAATGCTTTGTCATGTTGATTAGATTGGTTAGAGCTGCCTGGTGCTGTGATCCTTCTCATTGCTGTTGCCCCGAACCTGTTTGCGAGCACCTTCCGAGGCGACTTAGTTGGCATCTTCATATGCCTCATCATTGGATGCTACCTGCTTCAAGAGCACATCAGGGCGTCAGGTGGATTCAGGAACGCCTTCAGGAAGGGCAACGGAGTGTCCAACAGCATTGGCATCCTCTTGCTCTTCATCTACCCTGTCTGGGCCCTGGTGCTGAACTTTCTGTAGGCGCCACCGCTTCAGCGCTTCTCTACACCATCCAGCTCCGATCGCTGTTCGTTCTTGTGTACATGTCTTGTACGGTGATTTGGTATCTGGTGATCTGGTAGTATCGTTTTGAGGAGATGGATAATGTATGTTTGGACCTCCTGCCTCCTGATGCACGTTTTCTTGGCATTTTCGTTTGTTGTAGCTTTGCTATCAGCCCGTGTTTCGTCGTTCTGAGTGTACAAGCGTCAATAAATTCATCTCTGTTGCCTTCTGTAAATTTAAAGAGCTTTTATCCAAGTTCTCTTATGTGATTATCCCCACTACTACTTCTGAACAATAATGCTATGCAGTTGTGTGAATATCCAATGCTACTTCTGATCATATTTGGGGCCAGTGGGGTGTGGTTGGATGTATCACGTATGCTACAGTAGAAACTGTGGACGCCACTAGCTAGTGTCACACCTGGCTTGCTCGCTGCCGTCGTTTCAAGTTCTCTGCCTTTTTTTTTCTTTCCTCATCGCGGCGCGACCACACAAGGTGGGAAACACAGCACATTCCCCTTCTTCCCGGCTGCTATCCTCCCGCCCTTTTTCAGGCATTATTCTTCACTGCTAGTGGTGTAAAATCAAAGGTGTTTTTGATTATTATTTTGTGATGAACAATTGGGCATTGGAGATTATTGGTTTTGTTGTTTGGAATTTATTCACGAAGTGGTTTCGGAGATGATTGGATTTCACATGTGATTGCAGGATTCGTTATTTTATGTGACCGGTCAGACCAGGCTCTGGTAGCTGGTCAGACCGGCGTGTATTGCGCGGTCAGACCGGCGCAGCCCGCGGTCTAACAGGCCGACACTGTGTCGGTTTCGATTTCGGGTTGTTTATTTGGATATCCGAGTTTATTTCATGATTATGACTTCTAGATGGATACTATACGTATATAATACTATTGTTTGCTGCTAATGAGTCAAGTTGGAGATAGCTTGGTCTCGGAATATGATTTCTTTGTTTGTTCCATGTGTAGGTGACTCGATGTCTCGGGAGAGTATTTGCGGTGATGGACCGGGAGTCGGCTTGGGGATAAGACGACGTCCGTGGTGGTCAGAGATCATGTGGGATACTTAGGCTAGAGTTGATGCACGTGGTTGATGGAGATTCCATATGGCATACGATGGAGTTATTGTGTGCGTATGGGATGCGGAGTCAAATTTGGAAGGAGTCCAAATTTGGTACGATTGGTTATGTAAAGTTTCTTTCTTGTACTAGAGAGTTTCCTAAGGTGTTTAGGACTCTTAGTATGAGTTTGGTTCGTGGCTTTAGGCTGCCTACCTCATGTATAAATCGAGGGGGAGCGTGAGGCTTCCCGGTATCGCTTTTGAGAGCAATTGAGTTGAGTTTTGAGTTAGGGTTTCGAGTTTAGTCGAAATTTTTGTAAGGAGTGCTGTTGGTGCACTTTGTAAACACAGAGAGAATCAATAAAGTCATCATCTACTTTAAGAGTTCTTCGATTTGTGTTTACCGGGTTTCGGCGGTCAAACCGGCGGGAGCACGGCGGTCAGACCGGCGGCGGCGACAGCGAGCAGCAGCTGATCTCAGCGGTCGGACCGGAGATATAACCGCGGTCAGACCGACGGCAACCAGGCGGTCAAACCGGCAGGACAACTTTGGTCAGACCGTGATCCGTCGATTTCGAGGGTAACTTTTAGTTCCGCTAAAAGTTTTTGGTTTTTGGGTATACCAACCATTCACCCCCCCCTCTGCTTGGCTTAGTTCCTACAAGTGGTATCGGAGCCTTGTTTTCTTCTTTGGATTTTTATCGATCTAGAGTTTTTGCCATGGCTACTCCCGCTAGGTTTTCAACTAAGCTTCATGTTTTCGATGGAACGGATTTTTCTCATTGGTGTAGTAGGATGCAATCTTATATAATGGCTAAAGATTATGATATTTGGAGAAAATTTTCTCATCCTTATGTGATTCCTGAAGCTATTAATACTGCTGCTGAAAAAACTGCTTTTGAACAAAATTGCAAAGCTCGCAATATTCTTTTGAGTCGTATTTCTCGTTCGGATTATAATCGTATTGCTCATCTTCAAACTGCTCATGAGATTTGAACTGCTCTGTGTAATTTTCATCAAGAAACAAATAATATTAAAGAACTTCGTCGTGATCTTTTCAAAAAGGAGTATAATAAATTTGAGATGAAACCTGGAGAAGCTTTGGATGACTATATTTCTCGGTTTAATAAAATTTTGAGTGATCTTAGATCTGTTGATTCTTCTTATGATGCTAATTATCCACAATCTAAGATTTCTCGCCACTTTTTGAATGGTCTTAACATGTCTATTTGGGAGATGAAAGTTACATCTATTCAGGAATCTGTTAACATGTCTACTTTGACTTTGGATTCACTTTATACAAAATTGAAAACACATGAGATGAATGTTCTTTCTCGAAAAGTTGATTCTAAGTCTTCTTTTCTTGCTATTTTTAATGCCACATCCGATGATCAACTCGAACAAATCGAGGAGGATTTGGTTTTGGTTGCTAACAGAATTGCTCGAGCTATGAATAATGCCAGGAACAGGAAAAGAGGTGGTCCAAATCGTTGCTTTGAATGTGGTTCAATTGATCATCTTCGTTCGCATTGTCCTAAGCTTGGGAGAGGCAAAAGAGAAGACAAAGATGGTGAGAAGATCAACAACAACAAGTCCAACAACAACAAGTCGAAGGGTTCATACAAAGGGAGGAAGATGGAGAATCTTAGGAAGGCTTTTCAACAAGTTTGCGCCGCCTTCGAGCCACTAAGTGATGTAGATGGTGAAAGAGGAGATGATGATAAGGGAAACAACATCTCCGATGTTTGCTTCATGGCGCGTGGTGAATCTGACACAGAGTATGAAGATAATGAGGTGAGTGCTTTTGAGGAAGCTATTAATATTTTGAGTGCAAAAAATAAGAAGTGTGAGAAGATATATAGAAAACAGGAATTTATCATTGAATCTCTTAAATCTGAAATTGATATATTAAAATCTCTTATTCCTAATGATGATGATTGTGAAAATTGTGAGGTTTTAATGAATGAGATTTCAAAAATTAGATATGTTAATGCTGCACATGATTTAAAAAATAGATCTTCTCTTGCTTGTAGTTTTGACTTGCATACACGCACTTTGGATGAATTGTTTTTAACTAAAAAGTTGTTGCAAAAATATCAAGTTGCTTTTCATGCTAGTTTGATGTTTAACATGATTTCTGCTAAAAAGTTAAAACAACCTCATGATGTTTTGGATTGCTCAACATGTAATTTGAATAAGTTGAAATTGAAAGATGCTTTAGGTCGTGTTGAGTACATGGAAGATGTTGTGAAAAACAATGAAGTGCTTTCTTGCCCTAAATGTCGTCAAAGCAAAGGTGTCATGGTAGATTGTGAAAATTATGCTAATTTGGAAAAAGAGGTCTCTTATTTGAAAAATTCTTTGTTAAGATTTTCTGATGGTAAAAAGAACCTCAACATGATTTTGGATCAATCAAAGGTTAGCACACATAATCGTGGTTTAGGTTTTAATCCTTCTGCTCATAATTCTAGACATCCTCCTGTTGTGTTAGGTGTTGGTGCTAGAAGTGGTGAGATTTTGGTTAAACCTGATACTAATAAAACTGTGTTTAAATCTGCTGGTATCATGTCTACTATGAATGCATCTTCTTCAAAATCCAATGTTGTGCATGCAAAATCTCCTATTGTTGCTTGTGTTGCTAAATCTTCTAATTCTACTAATGTGTCTAATTATCGTGAAAAATATACTTGTTTTTTTTTGGCAAAGATGGACATATTGTTGGTTTTTGTTTCAGATTAGCTCATAAACAAAAAAGGAGAGAGAGATTGCTTTTGCAAAATCAAAGTGGCAAAAATCGGGTTTTCCCTCGAGGAAACCGGTCAGACCGCAGTGGGTCCCACGGTCAGACCGGCGACCGGTCAGACCGGCTACTGAGCGGCGGTCAGACCGGCGGTACAGAGGCGGTCAGACCGGCCCCCGGTCAGACCGGCCACTGTACCTCGGTCAGACCGGCCTTGAAGGAATTTTTCTAAAAATTCTAAAATTGATTTTGCACGTGAATATATGCCTATTGGATCTTCTGGTCGTGTGTCTCAGTACTGGATTCCTAAATTTTTATTGTCATCTAACCCCAGTACTGAGGCTTCGACTTCTGCTTGTGTGTAGGCTTTGGTGGCAAGGAAGGAGAACGTGTGGATCGTGGATTCCGATTGTTCGCGGCACATGACCGGTGATAAAAATTGGTTCTCCTCCCTAAAGAAGGCATCTAAGACTGAATCGATTATCTTTGGTGATGCTGCTACAAGTGCCGTTCTCGCTACAGGTTTGGTTAAGGTAAATGAAAATTTTGAATTGAAGAATGTAGCTTTGGTTGAGGACTTAAAGTACAATTTGCTTTCAGTTTCACAAATTGTTGATGAAAATTTTGAGGTTCACTTTAAGAAAACTAGAAGTAAAGTTTTTGATTCTTGTGGTGATTCTGTGTTGAATATTTCTCGCTATGGAAAAGTGTTTAAAGCTGATTTTGAAAATCCTGTTTCACCTATGATAACATGTTTGGTTGCTAAGTTTGATAAAGATGTGATGTTTTGGCATCGTAGACTTGGACATGTTGGTTTTGATCATCTCTCTAGGTTAAGTGGTTTGGATCTTGTCCGTGGTTTGCCTAAACTTAACAAAGATCTTGATTTGGTTTGTACACCGTGTCGTCATGCTAAGATGGTTTCTACTTCACATGCTCCTATTGTTTCTGTGATGACGGATGCACCGGGACAGCTATTACATATGGACACTGTTGGTCCAGCTAAAGTGCAATCTATTGGAGCAAAGTGGTATGTGTTGGTTATTGTTGACGATTTTTCTCGATATTCTTGGGTTTTCTTTATGGCAACTAAGGACGAAGCTTTTAAACACTTTCGTGGTTTGTTTCTTCAATTGGAGCTTGAATTTCCTGGTTCTTTGAAAAGAATTCGAAGTGATAATGGTGGTGAGTTTAAAAATGCTTCATTTGAACAATTTTGCAATGAAAGAGGTCTTGAACATGAATTTTCTTCTCCTCGTGTTCCACAACAAAACGGTGTTGTTGAAAGGAAAAATTGTGTTTTTGTTGAGATGGCTAGAACGATGTTGGATGAATATAAAACTCCTAGAAAATTTTGGACTGAGGCAATTAACACAGCTTGTTATATTTTAAATCGGGTTTTCTTGAGGTCTAAACTTGGAAAAACTTCTTATGAACTTCGATTTGGACATCAACCCAAAGTTTCACATTTGCGTGTTTTTGGTTGCAAGTGCTTTGTCTTGAAATCTGGAAATTTGGATAAGTTTGAGCCACGTTCTACCGATGGATTGTTTCTTGGTTACCCCGCACATACTCGTGGCTATCGTGTACTTATTTTGGAGACTAACAAAATTGTGGAGACTTGCGAAGTTTCTTTTGATGAGGCTAGTCCAGGTACTAGACCTGATATTTCAGGTACACTGTCACAGGTTCAGGGGGAGGATAGTCGTATTTTTTAAGACGAGAGCGATGACAACGACGACGACGAGGTCGGCTCGGCCATTCAGACCGGGCGCCAGGCCGGTCAGGCCGCCGGCACACCTCCGGTCAGACCGGCTCATGAGGAGCGGTCAGACCGGCCAGGTTCGTCGGGTTCCGGTACTGTTGGTGCTGATCGAGATGGTCCTCCGGAAATTACTATTTCGACCAGTACTGATACATAACGTGGATCAACTTCAGAAGTTGCTGCTCCTTTGCACATTCAACGACGACATCCGCCGGAACAAATTATTGGTAATATAGGTGAGCGGACTACAAGGTCTAAGGTAACGACTCATGATGTTTGTGCAAATTCTGCGTCTGTTGCTTCTTTTGAACCCAAAGATGTGTCACATGCATTAACTGATGAATCGTGGATTAACGCCATGCATGAAGAACTTGAAAATTTTGAGAGAAACAAAGTTTGGACTTTAGTTGAACCACCTTTTGGACATAATATTATTGGAACCAAGTGGGTTTTCAAAAATAAACAAAATGAGGATGGTTTGATTGTGAGGAATAAAGCTAGACTTGTTGCTCAAAGTTTTACCCAAGTGGAGGGTTTGGATTTTGATGAAACTTTTGCTCATGTTGCTAGAATTGAGGCAATTAAACTTTTGTTGGCTTTTCTAAATGGTTTTATACAAGAGGAAGTTTATGTCAAACAATCACCAGGTTTTGAAAATCCTGATTTTCCCAACCATGTTTTTAAATTGTCTAAAGCTTTATATGGTTTGAAACAAGCTCCTAGGGCATGGTATGATAGGCTTAAGAACTTTTTGCTTGCGAAAGGTTTTACAATGGGAAAGGTCGACAAAACGCTTTTTGTTCTTAAGCATGGTGATAATCAACTTTTCGTTAAGATTTATATGGATGATATCATCTTTTGTTGTTCGACTCACGCTTTGGTTGTAGATTTTGCTGAGAATATGCGCAGGGAATTTGAGATGAGCATGATGGGTGAGTTATCGTACTTTTTGGGATTGCAAATTAAGCAAACACCTCAAGGTACTTTTGTGCATCAAACGAAGTATACGAATGATCTTTTGAGACGGTTCAAGATGGAGAATTGCAAGCCAATTTCAACACCAATTGGTTCTACAGCTGTGTTGGATCCTGATGAAGATGGTGAAGCCGTTGATCAAAAAGAATATAGAAGTATGATTGGATCTTTGTTGTATCTAACTGCTTATAGGCCAGACATACAATTTGCTGTGTGTTTGTGTGCGCGCTGTCAAGCTTCTCCTCGTGCTTCACATCATCAAGCGGTCAAGCGAATAATGAGGTATTTGAATCATACACTTGAGATTGGAATTTGGTATTCTACTTCATCTTCTATATGCTTAAGTGGATATTCCGATGCTGATTTTGGAGGTTGTAGAATTGATAGGAAAAGTACTAGTGGAACATGTCATTTTCTTGGTACATCATTGATTGCATGGTCTTCTAGGAAACAATCTAGTGTTACTCAATTAACTGTTGAATCTGAATATGTTGCTGCTGCTAGTTGTTGTTCACAGATTCTTTGGCTTTTATCTACTTTGAAAGATTATAGTCTTACTTTTGAAAAAGTACCTCTCTTTTGTGATAATACTAGTGCTATTAACATTGCTAAGAATCCTGTTCAACACTCACGCACAAAGCACATTGATATTCGTTTTCACTTTTTGAGAGATCATGTTGAGAAGGGAGATGTTGAATTTCGGTTTTTGGACACCAAGTTGCAAATTGCTGATATTTTCACTAAACCTTTGGATTCTAATCGCTTTGCTTTTCTTCGTGGTGAATTGGGAATAATTCATCCTTTTGGCATGGTTTGAGGGGGAGTTTGTACCTCATGGTTTTATCAAGCAATAATATGACAATGAGAAAAATTTGAGAAAAGAGAGCTTTGTTTATACATATGGTATTTTCTTGTGCATGCTAGCAATACTTTGAAGGTTTATTTGTCTCTAACATAGCTTGTATGTATTCTAGTCTTTTCATGAGATTTAGATTTTGTTTTTATGTGAGATGATGCATGACACTTAAATTCTATACTTGAATTAAGAAAATATGCAATGTTGATGCTAGCATATGGTTTGATCTATAAATGCTCTATATATATGCTTTATTAAATTGTTATTCCTCAAATAGCTTTAATTGCTCATTGTGAGAAAGAGAATAAAATATGAAAAAAATGAATAACGAATCCTTGGAAACAGTCTTGACGACAAGGACGTGTTCGATGTGAGCAAAATAATGGGTGCCGAATCCCTGGAAACAGTCTTGACGACAGGGACGTACCCGGAATAAAAGAGAAAAATATGAGCAAAAAGGCTCAAGAAAAGAAAAAAATGAAAAAAAATTCTCTTGGTTATTTTGTGCTAAAGGTTATTTGAGAAAGAGTGATAAATGCAATAGGTATATGTGTTTAGTGTTTATTCTTCAACCTATGTGCTTGTTAAGATGTTGCATTATAAATCATATGAAATCATGAATTTCGATTGTTGATTCAAGCTTAATTGTAAAATCTTTAGTTCATGGTTATACTTTAATGTATGTTTGTTATGTTATAGATGGGTTCATCTTCTTTTTATTGCAACACATGACTTGATATGCTATATGTATGCTAAGCTCTTGAACATTAATGAACATAATTCCTATGCTTGATGAAATCATTGTCAAAAGGGGGAGAAGTAATGTGAAAACTTTTGGATTTTTTGGAGAGGCAAGGTGGATTTTTGAAGAGTTGTTGAGAAGAGCAATTGGGAATTTCTTTCTTTCAAAAAGGGGGAGAAGTTTTCTTTTGGATTTTTTAGCACGATGTGTACGTTTGTACGAAGTGTGCTTTTTACCACTTTTGTTTTTATTTTTCCAAACACCAAAACATTTTAATGGGTTTGCCAATGTGTTCATCAAGGGGGAGATTGTAAAATCAAAGGTGTTTTTGATTATTATTTTGTGATGAACAATTGGGCATCGGAGATTATTGGTTTTGTTATTTGGAATTTATTCACGAAGTGGTTTTGGAGATGAATGGATTTCACAGATGATTGCAGGATTCGTCATTTTATGTGACCGGTCAGACCGGGCTCTGGTAGCCGGTCAGACCGGCGTGTATTGCGCGGTCAGACCGGCGCAGCCCGCGGTCTGACCGGCCGACACTGTGTCGGTTTCGGTTTTGGGTTGTTTATTTGGATATCCGAGTTTATTTCATGATTATGACTTCTAGATGGATACTGTACGTATGTAATACTATTGTTTGCTGCTAATGAGTCAAGTTGGAGATAGCTTGGTCTCGGAATATGGTTTCTTTGTTTGTTCCATGTGTAGGTGACTCGATGTCTCGGGAGAGTATTTGCGGTGATGGACCGGGAGTCGGCTTGGGGATAAGACGACTGGTTATGTAAAGTTTCTTTCTTGTACTAGAGAGTTTCCTAAGGTGTTTAGGACTCTTAGTATGAGTTTGGTTCGTGGCTTTAGGCTGCCTACCTCATGTATAAATCGAGGGGGAGCGTGAGGCTTCCCGGTATCGCTTTTGAGAGCAATTGAGTTGAGTTTTGAGTTAGGGTTTCGAGTTTAGTCGAAATTTTTGTAAGGAGTGCTGTTGGTGCACTTTGTAAACACAGAGAGAATCAATAAAGTCATCATCTACTTTAAGAGTTCTTCGATTTGTGTTTACCGGGTTTCGGCGGTCAGACCGGCGGGAGCACGGCGGTCAGACCGGCGGCGGCGACAGCGAGCAGCAGCTGATCTCGGCGGTCGGACCGGAGATGTAACCGCGGTCAGACCGACGGCAACCAGGCGGTCAGACCGGCAGGGCAACTTCGGTCAGACCGCGATCCGTCGATTTCGAGGGTAACTTTTATTTCCGCTAAAAGTTTTTGGTTTTTGGGTATACCAACCATTCACCCCCCCTCTGATTGGCTTAGTTCTTATGATTCGATCCTATAAGTGGAACAGTGATCATCCAAAACCACTCGTATGCAACACGCCAGAAGAGAAGAGGAGAGAATCAATTGTCCATTGGATTATCGCAGCTGCAATCAGTGAACACGATCGATCAAACTGAATAGAGAAAAAGATTACCGGAAAGTCGAAATGCACACGGTTACGTTACGTGCCAAGCTTGGTAGCTCCCCAGATGTCGTGGTCAGCGTACAAGAGTGCAATTAGATCGTGCCATTTCAGCTGCTAGAGTGCCACTCCGAGTCGGGCTCTGCACAAAACAAAAGGAAGAATCTGTTCTGATCCAGGTGGAGACAGCGACGTGAGGAGGAGAATTACTCGAAGTCAAAAGCAGTAACCATGACAAGCAGCGACGAGAAAGAGAGGAAGGAGAGCTCTCGAGAGGAAAGGGAAGAAACGAAGAATCAAGAATCAGCTCCACCTCCCGTGCCACCGTATCCATCCACCCAAAGCCCCGGCCTTTTCATCTTGTCCCCCTCTTTTTTTTTCCCTGCCTTTTCGTCTTCGTCTTCCTCTAGCCTCACTCAGCATCTCCGTTGCACCGGCCAAGAATTCCACGCAGAGCTGGCCGGCGGCGACGGTGGACTCGCCGAGGAAGCAAGGATGTCATGAGCCGGCGGTGTGAAGGCGCCGCCGGGGGATGGAGAACCGGGAGAGGGCGGGGGCCGGCGCCGTCGGGAGCGCCGGCAGCCTCGGCCTCCGCGTCGGGCAGGCCGTCTTCTCGTCGGCGTCCCTGCTGTTCATGTCCGTCGGCGTCGAGTTCTTCAGCTATACTGCCTTCTGGTAAGTGCTCGCCTGAGCGTGCCACCGTTTGGATTTCTCCTACTTTTGTTCAGACATGGACTGCATGGCCATAGTTCTAGAGGTTTAAGCCATATCCCCAGTGATCACTAGACATGTTTAGCTGATCAGCCATCTGGTTTTATGATGCAAATTTGTCCTTAACTCCTTACATACCTCTGCAATCAAATTGGCAGCACAACCAAATTCAACCCACTCTGCTCAATGCTACTGCTGCAGGCTCCATCCCTTGAAACTCTTCATGTCCTCTAGTTACTTATGCTGAATTTGTTGTAAACTTGGTAGCTTCCTAGTTACAATAATGGGCTTGGTGATCCCCTGGAGCTGTACACTCGCCATGATCGACGTGTACTCCATACTTGTAGGGTGCCCTCTTCGGGTACCAGGTGTCATGGTCATTGTCGTCATCGGAGACTGGGTATGTAGAAAGAGCACATCTCCTTGTGGTTCTCATTAAGCTTTATATTTCACCCTCTCTTGTAAAAATCAGATAGAGATCAAGAACTTTGCGTGCAATCTTTTTCAGGTCCTGGCAATACTTTCACTAGCAGCTGCCAGCTCAAGTGCGGCGGTCATCGATCTTCTGCTCCAATTCCATGGATCTCACTGCTCTCCCAGATTCTGTGGGAGGTATCAGCTGTCGGCGATGATGGCTTTCTTGTCCTGGTTCCTAACGGCCGCTTCCTCACTCTTCAACCTCTGGTTCATCGCCTCCCGGTGACCACTGCTGATTGCTGATTCTGGATTACGCCCTAACTCCAGTATGACTCCACAATCAGTCATGGATTTGGATACCGTATGTGCATAGCACTATAGCTTGGAAAGTCTATTTATTTTGTAATTTTAGTCATTGTGGGTCTGAATGAAGAGTGGTGAAGTTACACTCCACATGAATACATGATCATCAATTTCTGAACCTACCACAAATCCACAATGCAGTTCTTGTCCATCTATGTTAATCTGATCTAGTCTTCTAAATTGATTAGAAATAAAGTCACGATGAACCTGGCAAAGAAACTGAAATATTACCTCGATCATTTCGGCTCTAATTGGTGCCAACGGCTTGATCTTGGTAACCATGTTGCGTCAGACAGAGCCACAGAGGAATGAAACACGTGGTCGGCATTTCGTCGAGCAAGTTGCGGGCCCAGAATGCACCCGCCAGAGATTCATCCGCCAAACCAGGGAAGGCTCTTGAGGCGCTGATCACGGATCACCTCGTCAGTTCAATGGTGCGCTTCAGTACCAGGCTCCGGTGGCCATAGCAGCAACGTTCATTGCCGTGGCCGATGGAGACCGCGACGGCGTGGCGACCATGGGCGCTTCCCCGCGCCCTCTACTCGGAGACGTAGTGCTTCCCGCTTAAGGAAAGGAGGTGATGGGCGGAGATTCAGAGAAGCGGCACGGCGATAAGACTGCCGTTCGGCGACGCCGCGGAAGGCAGCCGTGAGCCGTCGCCGGCTCGCCGCCGGCGGAAGAGAGGCAGTAGGGGAGGGAGAGAAACACGAGGGCTAAAATATAAAAAATCCTGATCGCTACAGCCTACAATTGGTAGCAATCCAAACTACTCCAGGGATCTCTTTGCATGACTCCTGGTGGAATAAAATATCTAGATTTCATGGGCCAAATTTGCTGAAGGGCCATATAGGCCCAAAACATCAGGCCTTCGGTTCTTCGCGCTAAGTGGCCCATCTATAGTAATCATCTGCATGGGCCTGTATTAGACCTACGCACGGGCCAGATTCTTCTTCTGGTGGATCGATCCGTGCATGTTCTCTGTTCAGCAACCTTCTATCAATATAAAACAGAAGATAGGCATCGTGGATAGAGATAAAGATAGGGATCCCTATAAATCGAAAAGTGCACTTCTTGACTACTACTACTATTTCTTAGACTTTTTCAAGGAAACATTTTTTTTTTTCGATTTTGACTGAATTGGTCGGAGCGTAGACGAGTGAGTAGAGCGGTCAGATCGTCATTGAGCAGTCAACTATAATTATAAAACTGCTGACCTGAGAGAAGGCAGCCTCTCTCGGGAAACATGGCCCAATTTCTATTATTTCTTTTCTCTTTCCCTCTATCATAACGCAATAACAAAAAGGATAAGGACTATATATATAGGAACAGAGTAATTCCAATGACTGAAACTACCATAACCTTCCCAACCAGGATGAGGCATAAGCTTACCCTGATTACACTTCTAAATTTAGAATTCGATATTCACTAAAAAAAATAGTGGGTTACTTCATGGTTCCCTAGGCCCGGAGCTTCTTGTTTCTTTTAATCTTGAAACGTGTTCAGAAAAATGGACAGCATATTCTATGATGTACTTTAAAGGATGCATATATATTGTAGGTATAAAGTGAAATCTCTGTGCTTCATATAGTCTAATGCTCACCATCATTTTTCAGGATATACTACTGATATTTAACACATAAAAATGATTCGAGAATCACCAACCTAATCAGTAATCACACTAAAACTAAAAGGCAGAGTCGGCCAACCTTCTTGTTCAGTTTATCCATCCCTACTAATTATTGGCTCATGCTGGTTCCCGGCAAATACACCCTGCTAGGGCCAAAAATGCTTCCTGTCTACTCGAGTGCCATTGCAACTGGAACTTACGAACGCATTATGAGCGCCATGTTACGACAGGATCAGATCGGAATTCAGGGAATACAACACGTGGTTCTCCTTTCTGGTCGAGAGGCATTCTCTGAATCTATGTGTCACGGCTGCCTCCCAATCTGGCCGGCCTTTTCCAGCCTGTGCTATGAATTCTGCAAGAAAAGCGATTATAATTGAATTCGGTTTTGCAATGCAACAAGAACAAATGGTTGCATGTTGCTGCCCCTGGGACCAGACTGTCTCGTTCTTGGACGGTTCGATGCATCCAAAATCTAGGGGTTGGATTGACTGGTTTGCACGCACCACAGCCTGCTTTAGCTGGATAACTACTACAGTACTACTGCAGTTCACAACTTCGGTTTGGTTGCACGTTAACTAGTAGTACAATGATGATGATGTTTAGGGCTGTGTACTTGCCCAAGCTTATTTTCTAGATCGGGTGCTTGTCAGATCATGGATGACAGATTTTTGTTGACTCTTTGCAAGAGCTTACGAACATGTTTACAGTGATGTAAACTACTGTATGTTCTTTTGCGAAATGTTTGTGTGTGCAATGATGCATTTTGGACATTATTGCGTGCAACTGTGCAACACGTTTGTGACCAGGGCGAGAGGGGGCACAGGTCAGTTCAGAGTTAATGGAGGCCGGCCGGCCGGCGAGCACCTGGCGGACAACGGTACGAGCGTTCACGAGAGCAACCGAATTTGGCCGCATCTGAGAACGCAAGTGGCCTCTCAAACATCATGAAAACAGAGCAGACGCAATCCAATGAGTAGTCCAAAATCGTTTGCAACTAGCTAGCGGAGCGGCTTGCTAGTTCCTTGTTCGCATGCAGGCAGGCAGCCAGTCTGTTAGTTCCAAGTGTACACCTCAGTACAGAAAGGAACTTGACCAATACTGGAGTATTACCTGCTCTCTCCAGTCCCATAAAAAATCAAATTAGTGTTATATGTGACACATCATAATACTACGAATTTGAATATATCTCTATCTATATTCATTATATTAGAATGTGCCACATTCAATTCTAGATTTGTTTTTTTCAATGTGATTTGTACGAGAAATATGTACATAGTCGTATTGAGCATTGGACGGGAACGGTTTAAATACTCTAGCTTGATGCAGGGTTGGGTTTTGTGAATATTTTGCACGGCATTTGTATGAAGGGTCAACCAAGAAAAAAAACCCTGTCTCCTACTCTCCTCTAGCTGTACATGTGCTGTTGTAATTTCCGTGCTTCTTCCTCTACCAATTTCAACCGATCGTTCTCTACGGATCAACGGGCGTCGGCGATCCAAATCGACTCGATCTCTGCAGCTTCCCCGGCCGTTCTCTCCTCAGAACCAAAGGCCAACAACACATTCCGTTTCCTGGTCGTTCAGTCACGTAGGAGTACAAGCGTACAGGTGCGGCACCGTACGGCCGCGAGTAAACTAGTCCTCCCCCCCGGATCGCATCTGGGCCACGTTGAGACGTGCGTGCCGACTGGCCGCCCCAAGATTCCGCCTGCCTCCCCCGCGGCCCGCCTCCGGTCCACGCAACGGTGGACAGGATCTACTCTCCGCCCTCCGCCGAGCGAACGTTCGCGGAAACTGGCCGAACCCCCGCGACTCCGCGAGCGCGATCGTCCGAGAGCTAGCCGCGCGCGCGCGCGACACACCACGCGATTCGCCGTCGGGATGGTCGGTTTGGTGCGCGCGGGCACGGGGGATTGGTTGGGCCGGCCGGCAGGGGAAGGGACCGGGTGGGCAGTCGTGCGGCGCGGGTGGCGCCCCGCGAGCCGGGCACCGCGGCCCTGCGTGCCGGGCGGCATGTGCGCGTGCGTCGTGCGCCAACGGGGTGGGGGCGTATATACGTACGTGGCCGGCGCCCGGTTGGGACAAGGCAGATGATGGGTCGATCACCACCGATCGTTTCGTCGCGCGCATGCACGGCGCCACGCGCGCAGTGACCCAACAACCCGGGCCTCTGCTGCGAGTGCTAGCCAAAAACCGAATGCGGACGCCGGTGGCGGTCTGTACACTCCGTGGCCTGGGCGTCGTAGGGTAGTATTCGTCGTTTACTCGTTTAGTCGTTTGTACCGGGATAATTTAAGTACGTTATCTCTGGCGCTCTGCACGGATTGATCGACCGTCTAGTGCGTGACTGCGCGCATCGGTGCATCATGCATGCATGCATGGGCCTGGAAAATGGTGCCGGTGCGTGCCGCGCCTTTTTTTGGCGTCCTTCTTGACGCGAGTTTTTGCTCCCCAACCGGACACCCCCCATGTTTGGACTTTGAACTTTGGAGTTTGGACTGGCCTGATCTGTATTTCTGTTCCACGGACCATATGTGCATGAGTTTGCGGCAGACCTATGGATAAGCTAGCCAGTCGCTTGAGTTACATGCATGATGCATGGGCAATCGGCGCGATCCATCTGTTTGATACTACTAATATATGCTGGCTTCCATATAAGTCTGTACGCTTGCTAGCTGCGTTCCATATGCAGCCACGCCAATTTATGAATCCATATGTTAGCGATCGAGCTAAGAGAGTGACTCCACCACTCTATTCTATTCCTTGGACGCAGCTTGTCCTATGCGTAACCGACGGTGACGAATCCACGCACAGAAACGAAACCGCGCAGCGTTCGCTGAACCCAGCTACTACTACTTTAGCAAAGTACTCCTACGTACTCTCATCCATCAATGGCACAGGCTACCTCCTCTACTATACGTCAAAAAGCCTTAGGACGCCCATGCCGCCACGTGATCTCCGCGTCCGGCTCCCCGCTGCCGAGGCTTGTCCGCGCGTCCCCCTACCCCCGTGACGAGGGGCAGCAACGGCGCGCGCGGCCACTCCGCGCCCCACGTACGTACGTACGCCTCGCTCCCCGGACCGGAGACGCGCGCGCGCGCGGGTTGGCTACGCACACCAACAAAATGCGCTAGCCTTTTGGGCCTATCTGCAACTGAAAGGGTCGCGAGGTGACGACGGATGCAGCGGAAGACGACGACGAGAGGGGAAGATCCCAGCGAAGCAAAAGAAGCTTCTGCAATACGGACGGACGCTAGCTCGATCTCTACGTGTGCCGTGGTCAGTTTGCGACCGTGGTTTTGGTGTGAGATGGAAAGTGAAATTCGCTGTGTATTAATTGGAGGGATCAAAGGGAAAAAAATATCTCAGTTTTTGAAAGACCGAAGGAGAAATATCTCATTGCACTCAAGTTGATCGCATTTTTCCCGTGTAGTACAGTAATATTTACTCCGGCTAGGCTTACCTGCTTGTGCATCTTCACAGGTTTTGATTCTCCGGTTCTCTTAGTTTCCTGGCAACTTTGAAAAGAGCG